AGATTTAAAATCTTATCGAAAATCTTATCTTTTAACTGTTTAAAACAGTATGTAGGGTCCATATGAGGACCCCCTCTTTACTTTTATTATATAAGAAGCCTCACTTAGAGGCAGAAGTAAGTTTAAATTTGGAAGTTTGGAGTTTTCTCTCTCTTCTCTCTCTTCTCTCTCTCCTTTGTAAAACCTTTCTTTGTGAGTAATAAAAGCAATAGCTTTGGTTTAAAAGATCTCTGTTCAAGGTATTATTTTATTTCTTTTATTATTATATTTTCTTGTTTGCCGCCTTCATGGCCGGCTAAGTTATTTTCATATCTATGCTAGCTTCATAAGATTTGTATGATGTTCTTACTTACTATCTGGATCTAACTAAGTTATAATGCATTCATATTATAGTTCTTTATTCTTTTATCACAAGTTCTGACTTGGTTTCAAGGTGGTGGAAAATTTTAAATATCAATGATAGCGAGCATGAGGTATTTGTAAGTCCCCGTTTGAGTTAATGTTAGGGGCAGCCTGAAACCCTTGTTAAAACTGCTATCAATTGATGTTTAAAAAGGTCTCCCATGCTTGAGTAAAAGGTTACCATACAGCCGAAACTTAGGATAAAACTTTAAACATAACTATAATACGTTGCATGTTATAACCTGGTGTACAAAGCTAGATCTGTTAGGATAGGATTCATTGTCAATATTTCAATATTTAGTGAAAATGTCAAAAACAATTGTTAAAAAACAAAAGGGAGAAACTAAGGGGATGGAAAAAAAATTAAAAAGAAACAATTGCTTAAAAGTCTCATCAATTATAAAAATTCAAAAACAAAAAACTAATTGACAATTTGTCAAAATACACCAATTTACAAAATACACCAACTTTCATCTGTTTTTTCTTCTTTCACCATGTTCTAAAAAGCACGACTATCACTATTGTTCTAAAAAAATCAATATTCAATTTTTTAATCTCTTTTTTTGTTTCTAAACACGTTTATTTACCATACATTATCATATTTGAAGCAGTTTATTCTACTAAGGCATCATTTTAACGTAATAAAATTATAATTTATCTTTAAAAATGTTTGAAATTTTATGAAGCTATTTGGTTATCCTGTTAAGTTTATGAAGCTATTTGGTTATCCTGTTAAGGTTATTAAGTTTTTTTATCTCTTTTAAGGAATTTTCCAATATTCATAATACAATACTCATGTATTCATTATGCAGGTATTCATCTATCTTACATATGTATTTTATTTTGCTTCTTTTCAATATCACTTTGTATACCAAATAGTTTGTGTTTAGACTTGATTTTGTATTCGTCCTAATGTATACCATAAAGTATGTATTTAGATTTGATTTTGTATTTGTCCTAATATATATCATAAAGTTTGTACTTATATGTTGCTTTCGTATTCATTCTCAACTATAAATAGTCAAAATACAGTTTATTTATGTATTCATTATATGTGTATTCATTCTAATTGCATCAGTCAAATAGTTTTGTATTTTATTTTGCTCATTATATGTTTATACCAACTAATTTATATTTGATTTCGTATTCATTCACAATTTTAAATAATTAAAAAACAGATTTATATTTAGATTATCACTTTGTAAAAATAAATTTGAATACAAACTACAGAACATTCAAATTACTTTCAATACTTTTGCGAAACAACTGAATACCTAAATGCTAATGTAGCTAAATCTAAAATATAAAAACAAATCATAAACAAAGATAAATAAAATTGTTTAAAATACTAAAAATCTGAAATACATAAATATTTGATGAGTATGTTAACAAACTCACATAGAAATTTGAAAAATGACGGAAGATCCTCAATAAACACAATCCGAAAATTTAACATAATGTGTGATTTTAGAAACAAAATCTCGCAAAATAAATGATGACTTCGAAAATAACTTTATCAATTGAGAGATTTCTTGATTAATTGATAGATTTAAACAAATTGGTATGAACTTGAATAATTAGTTCTTCAACAATAAGAGAGAATAATGGTGAAATTTTGATGAAAGAAAAAAAAAGAGAGAAAAGTGAATGATGAGAATGGTGAAAATTGAGAAGTTGATGAAAGAGAAAAAAAAATTGAAAAATGAAAGATGAAAAATAAATTTATCTGTATTAAAGCATAGGAAGAAGTGTAAATGGTTAGTGGATGTAGAATTTGATTCAATGTTGGATTGTTTTGAGAAATAAAATTTGGATACAAATTACTTTTTGAAATATTGACATTTTGACATTTTCAATAAAAAAATTTAATATAGGTATTTTTACTAATTAAGTTAGGAATTGTGACTAATTTACTAATTTTTCATCATATATATCAAAATATTCTTGTATTCTATACATTTTCATTTCATGTATAGAAAATATTAATGCATCATATTGATGACCAGTATGCCTATATACTTGTTTCATTTCGAAAATTGCTCCATCCATATAAAATAAAGCCCTTTTATGCTTCCAAACTCTTTTTCTTATGCTATGCAAAGATTTTAGAAACAGAAGAAGATCATCATGGTAATGGTCGCATAATATATGCATATCTTAGCATAAAAATGAAATTTCTACAAATCTTTGCATAACATAAGAAAAAGAGTTTGGAAGCATAAAAGGGCTTTATTTCATATGGATAGAACAATTTTCGAAATGGAACAAGTATATAGGCATACTGGTCATCAATATAATGCATTAATATTTTCTATACATGAAATGAAAATGTATAGAATGAAAAAATATTTTGAGTATAAAAATGCTTTATCAATTTTAAAAAAACTATATAATTTTTACTGCTTAAAAACAGCATTCAATTTTTCCTCTACCCTGTTTAAATAAATTAAACAGCAGCTCCAAAACAATCAAATATATATATATATATACACTCAGAAAGTGAATCCCACAAATAATATAAATGATTTATAGGAAAGAAGAATTGAAAATAAAAGTATGATAACTAAATGAATAAAGCAAGAAATTTTGATGTAAATGTAATAAATAAATTAGGCGGGAAGCAGATCATGTGTTAGATAAAGCAAATTATTAATTGAAAATAGATCATGTGTTAGATAGAGCAAATAATTAATTGAAGATAGGTGCCAGTACCAACCATATGAAATAAAGGCAATAAAAAGATAAATTAGTAAAGTAAAGAAAAAAAATGAGCCTAAAAAATTAAAATTTGATGTTATTATCAAATCAACTTTAAAGTCTACAAAGAAGAGAGCAAACTCACACCTAAGTCTTCTTACGAGAAAGAGAACATTGTTTGGAAGAAAAGCAATGTTTGTCGTAGTTTGTTTCATTTTATATGTCAGCTTTTATTTTATATTTGTATTAAAGAAAAAGGTTTAAAAATATCTTTCAACTTTATTTTATTAGTTAAATACATCTTCATCGTTAAAATGAAGTTATTTTTATCCCGCTATTTATAAACTTATCAAATATATCTCTCAATTGGATGAAAATTTTTAAATCAACAAAAATTATATATATATATAATTAAGTTTGAGTAAAAATAAACAAATTAAAATGAATGTTTTTTTATATATTTATATATGTGGATAACTTTTTTCTCCAAGTAGATATTCTATCCATTTGATTCCAAACATACTGTAGAACATTGCAATTCGTTTACGCCTTATTGGTCCTCACAGTTTCCCAAATAGTTTTTTCTTATCTTACCTTCACTTTTATTATTATTGGGATAATGCAATAAATAAATAAATATCATTAAATAAGTTTGACTGAGTGAATAATAGTATCAAAAAGAAATAATTTAGATGTGCTACTGATAATTTCACTATTATTTAGGGGTATCTTTTATATCTTACTCTTCATTTAATTTTATCGCTTAATCTAATAACACATAAACTTCAAGAAATGAAAGAAAATAATTTAGGATTTATAATGTTAAATATTTAATGATATTACTGTTACTATAAAAGTATTTAAATTATTTTAAATATAAAAATGCAATTCTTTTTAATGTAATATAAAATAGATAAATAGAATAAGATTTTTTGCCTTGTTCAGAAAAGGGCATCCCTTAGCTTCAATTTATATAACATAATTTGAATTAATAAAATACTGAATGTTTTATTTAAAATCTGCAGGTTTAAAATATCAATACATTATGTGATCGATAAAATATTTCATGAAGTGCCAAAAAAGTGTAAAGTTCATTAATATTGTTAACACAAAATATTTTCTTTATTTTAAAACAAATTTAATTATTTGCTCTATTTCATTTTATGTGAGCATTGTTTTTACTTTATCACAAAAAAGTCACTTTTTTTATTCTATCCAAGATGATGACACATTACGATAATCGTTAATAAATTTGTTTTAAGATATGGTTTGAACCGTAAATTTCAACCACCTTCGACCATCGTTTTTTTTTAAAAAAAAAAAGTTTATCACTTAAATAGTATCAGATAAATTAAAATTAAAAGGAGTAATAATTTAATTTTAAATCCCTCATTTTATACGTCATAAAACGATTTCTGGACAAAATAATTTCTCTGACTTGTGTAAATTATGAAACATACAAATATAAATTCTACTTTATTTTCTTTTGAGTTGTGTTCAATCAAACACGTTTATCTAAATTAAAAGGAAAAAGGATTAATTTTGATCAAATTATTATTACGACATCAAATTTTATGAAAGACCTTTTACCAGACTATATAATAGTGTGTTTTAAAGGTATATATATGTGATCACGCTTATACGTTATTATTTGTAAGGATACAATATCCATGATGTTTACGCTGACACATATATATCTTTAAAATATACTATTAAATTGTACAAGAAACTAAAAATTCAGACTTTTTCCGACATATTTCCGACTTTTTCCTAAATTAAAACGAAGAAAATAATATAATTTTGAGTGGATATTTTTTCCTCATTACAACGGTAACCTTAATCTTAATATACAAAGACCAACAATAAGTAGTGCATACTGCACACAAAGTCTATATAAACTTTGTAGTCTCCCTTTTAACCTTTCTATTGTTTCTTTCTAGACTTCTCGTGAAGAACTATTTTTTTTTTTCTATTTCTCGTGACTCTTTTTTAGTGTTTTACTTTTTATCACCACACAAAAAGAGTCATATTGAACTCAAATTTTGAAACAACAAAGAGAAGAAAAATATTGCCCATGGCTCAGCAAATACATGTTGTAGTTTTATTCATGTTGGCTTGTTTGTTCACAACTTCATATTCTTATCAATTTACTGTTGGTGGTAAAGATGGTTGGGTCCTTAACCCTTCTGTTGATTACAACACTTGGTCTCAGCATATGAGATTTATAATCAACGACTCTGTTCGTAAGTCTTAACATGTCTCTCTTTATTTATTATTGCTTGAAGAGTTCGAACAATATAATTGGTAAACGAGTTTTTTCTATATGTTGATACTTTTTTTTTGTGTGTGTATGTGCGCTTTTTTTAGTGTTTAAGTATAAGCAGGGAGCAGATTCTGTGTTGGAGGTGAGTAAGGATGATTATGATAAGTGCAATACTGGAAATCCAATTAAGAAAATGGAGGATGGAAACTCGATTTTCACGTTGGATCGGTCTGGTCCTTTTTACTTTATCAGTGGGAACAAAGATAACTGTGATAAAGGCCAAAAGTTGCAAATTGTTGTGATTTCTGCTAGGAATCAAGGTAAACCACCACAAACTCCGGCACCGGCAGTTGCTCCACCTACTCCTTCTGGAGGTACGCGGAATCAGGATTTTTATTTTATTCCCCGTTGACATTTGCTTATGTGGTTTGCGAGTTATTGTATCTGAAGGTAAAAATTACATGATTCGATTGAGAACTTACGTGATTAATGCAGGCTCAACTCCGGCAGCTGCTCCGTCTAAAGGATCGGGTACACCGTCGGCACCTTCAGCTAACGCTCCGGCGGGATCATCTAAACCGGGTGCATCGTCACCTAATGGGGCACCGGTATCTACTCCTGCAGGTAAATGTAGAATTTCGATTTGATGGATTCAACGTTTAATTTCGTTCGATTTTTAACGTATTGAACGTAAATTGAATCATATAGTTTATCTGTTTGTTCAGGTAAATCACCAACCTCATCACCTACACCTTCCGGTTCAACCGCATCTCCACCATCTCCTGCGACCGTAACTCCGGCAATGTCTCCGGTAGCAAATGGACCGTCAACTAGTACACCAGGTTCTTCTTCACCTGTAGCAGGCGGACCATCGTCAGGAAGCGGTATTGCACCGTCGGCAGGCGGACCATCTGGAAGCGCTATTGCACCGGCGGCAGACGGACCAACAGTAAGTATGTCACCGGGACCATCGGCAGGAGGACCATTGGCAGGCGGACCATCGGAGGGAGCACCGGGAAGTAGTGCTTTAGGTCCCGGCGGCAGCAATACTCCGGCGGACATCAATACGCCAGCTGGCGCACCAGAAAACCCAAATTCATTTGCAGTGAAGGCATTTACTCCATCAGTTGTACTTGTGTCAGCCGTTTCACTCGTTTTAACTGTGACTTTGGCAGAATTTATTATTTTACCTTAGGGTAAAATTATTAGATATTATATTTAATTTGTGTTTTTTCTTTTTTTTTTACTGTATTTTGTTTTTAATTTCTTGAATAATTCGGAGATTATTGGCGTGTTTTTAGATATACAATAGATGTATTTAATTTTTATTTTTTTGCTTTTAATTTTTGTGGGTGAGACTTAAAATTTGAATTTATGTATACCAGTTTAATTCTGGTTTTTGTTTTTGTTTCGTTAGAGAACATTTATAGTGAATTTTTAAATCATGCACAAATATAACTTATCATCCTTCTTATATAAAAAAATAATTTTATTTAAGTTTTTAGCGATCAATTTACGAAGGTATTAAGTGTTTCCTCCTTCAAAAATTAAATTGTCTACCAACAATCCAAATGTTCGAAAGTAAGACTTTTTCCTTCGTTTTTATTGTCTAAATCAAAATCTCTATATACATTGTTATAATCTTTCAGAATTATCTTTCGTTTAAAAAAAATTTTAAAAAAATGATTTTGAAAACAAAACAAAAAAATATAAAATTATCTACATCTTAAAAAAAATAAAAAAAATGATAGACTATTTGACAAATACGTAAAAATATCGCTCAAATATAACTGTTTCCCGGTGGAAGTTATAGAAATTCTTATAAAGTCAAAGTCATGCAATACGTTCCAAATATAAATTTATTAACGTACCGATGTGAAGTCGTCTCTTTTCTTCGTTTACTCATTATGTGCGTAAACTTTGGTGTAATAATAATAACAAGATGACTTGAATTGAAGTGGTTTTTTCCATTTATCTTAAAATAAATATCATCTTAATAAAAATAATAGAGGGAGTATTAATTTTTGTTGACTAGCCTTCCAAAAATTAATGTGATTTATTACTGATATAAATAGTCCAACTACAAAAAAGGGTGCAGTATGAAACTGCTCCATCTGTCACAACGTTTTGAAATTTAATTGTTTTCGAAAAAATTAAAGTGAACATTGTGATTTTGAAAGGTATTATTTTTTTTGTTTTTATTTATATATCGTATCGTTTTTAATAAAAATATAATTGATATTATTTCTTCCCGACTTCATATAAAGGATCCGTTTAGTCGTAGATTTTTCAAATAATATTTGGGGAAGAATTTGGTAAATAATATTTGTCTATATAATTTGTCATTATTTGGCAAACATTTTTGGCAAATATCTCAAATTTCCAAATACTAATTTTATTTTATTTTTTGTATTTGGGTCAAATCTCATTATTTGGAATCTTTTGAAAATTAAAATTTTACCCCAAACTTTTATCTTTTACAAAAACACCCTCTATAGTAGTTTTTGTTGTATTACATAATCTTTTTACGTGAACACCAAAATAGTGATGAAATATTTAGAGAATATTAAATAATGATATGATTGCTGATGAAAATGATGAAAAATTAACTCAAGGTAATAAAATCATGTGCTTCATCTACTTCACCATGTATGGAATGATACTTGTTGCACTCGCTCCAAATTACCACATTACTCTAGTGTGATGAAAACTATTTGTTATTGTTGTAACGAACATCCAATTGACTTGTAATACAAACTTATAGTTAGTTTTAATAGTTTTTAAAACTTATGAGTATAAATCATATTTTTATAAAAAGATGAAATATATTTCCCAAATCCTATGGCCAAACACATGGTGAAATTTCACCCAAATTTTCACTCAAATAATATTTGCTAAGAATATTTGAAAATTCATGGTCAAACGCTAGCAAAGTTTCTTTTTATAAATAGCTGAATTACAATATTTGTCATTTTATAAAATTTATATATAAATTATCATATTTTATCTATTATACCCATGATAGTATAGTTAATTAATCTTGTCATTTATTAATAAAATTGATTTAAGAAAACATTAAATAAGAATAGATTATATCATTTCTGTATGCAAATACAAAATAAAAAGATGACATATAAAATGAAACAAATAAAAAATATATATACTCCATATAAATTATTATCTCGAGAGTTATTAGATTTGAAAATATATAATCACTTTATCATTTTAATTAATCAAGTAGTATACTTTTAGTTCATATTACTTGTTCGTTACTTGTTTAGTTTTAAAATTTTAAAAAAAAATATTTATTTTTATTTTTTAATTTTACTCTTATTACTCTATTAATTATAATTGTTTATTAAAGTATTAATTTATTACATTTAAATAGTGATGTGATAAATTGTCTAATTGATCCTCGTGTCAAAATAAATTGGAAGGGGGATAAACTTTTCCTCCATGCCACTTGTTGGTTGGTAAGTAGTTACATTAATTAGCCTATACATTGATTTTTCATAAATTATTTATCTGATGTCCTGATATTTATATTGTAATTTGATTATTTTGAATACGTGCCATATTGTGCTTTATTCGGAGGAAGCGCTCTCTAAAAAAATTCATACGTATAAAATCTTTAATTAAGAGAGAATCGATTTTATAATTCACTACACCATATCGTTTAGTGATACAATTTTTGCATTCACTTCTCTACTTATCCTATCTTACTATTGTATGAATTGATGTATTTTGTTATAATTTCCATTTAAACATAAGAAAGTACATTTTAAACAAATCGATAAGTAATGTGGGTTATAGACTAGGTTGATATGGAGTGGCGGATTCAAAAATTTAATTAAGAGAGCTAGAAAAGGAATTTGGACTTAGAGATTTTCAGAAAATTTTACTGAAATTTCTGACGAATGAAACAGTCTTTGTATAAAATTTTAAAAAATACTTTATATATACAATATAATTTCTGCATCTAGATAACTTTTTTTTAATAAGAATATATGCTACTTGCTTATAATGGAATTTAATATTCCTACTTATGTGGTGGAACTTGAATTTTAACTATATATTAATATGAAATTATCTTTAAAAGAATTATCAAATCTATGAAACTTGACAATTCAAGGAGAATCCAATTCTCTGCAGCATAAAAAGGTATTACAAAGCATTTATAAATGAAAAAAGAATTTTTGTTAATTAAAAGTAGGAAGTAAAAAAAATATATTTTAAAAAAAAGTTTAAGTAAAAGTCTAAAACATTTATTTTACTTTAGCAGGGAACATAAGTAAAAGTAGAAAAGCACTAAAGAAATGCCCTTTTTTTTCTGTATTATTAATTGTCTCAAATGAAAGTGGGTGCCAATAAGATCATTTAAATATAAACCCACACATAACACCCTTTACACTAAAATTGGATTTCAAAGGGTATTTATTTGGGTTGTCTATGTATTTGAATTTAAAATTTATCGATTTGATTTATCAGTTATTAATTTGTAGATATATCAAACTGTTACTATAATCATTAAGATATCGTCTCATTAGTTATTGATTTGTCGCTATTGATCGTTATCAATTTGACTATTAAGATTTGACAATAATTTTTTTTTTTGAAAATCACTTAGAATAAGGTGACAAATTAAAATAAATATGTACACATGAGATGACAAATCGCATTTTGCTCAAAAGCAAATATTGTCACATAATAAAATAACCGAGAGCTTGAGACAGTAAATAATAAAAGTATGAAACTAAAATCTAAGTCGAGGACTTTATATACCAAATGGTATAAATCTATTTTTTTTAAAATTTACTATCCGATTATCGGTACTTAACATATTAAGAATAAACTGCAAATCGTTAAAAACTGATAATTCGATAATCATAAAAAATCGAAACCATTACTAAAACTGCTAATCCAATAACCATTACCGACAAATCAATAAAAAAAAATTTAGTTTAGGTTATCAATTTTGGTTTGATTTTAAACAACCCTAATATATATACTTACTCTGGAGGAGGAAAATATTGTAAGTATTTTTTTAGAGTCATTTGATAGTTGATTAGAGTTATGCATTTATTAATAATGCAGGATTTAATTATAAGTGAATGATCTATATATTATTTTATGCAGATATTAGCTATGCAAAAATTAATTATTTATGTATTGGTTATTCCATCTTTTATTCGACATAAAATTATTACATAGTTTCCTCCATGAATTATAAGTTATGAAGATTTCTAAATTATTATTCGAACGTCGTATTATTTTATACATAAATAATTTATTTCCTATCTATTTACCAAATATTATTAATATTAATATTTTCAAATAAAATCATTTTTATTTTATTTTCATGACCAAACATCCTCTAATAAACATTTTGAGTACTAACATCAACTTTACAAGTGGACAAATATAAACAAAAATAACTAAATCTCGAAATAAATTTTATGATAAATCTATTTCATATTTCGTTAAAATAAAATTACTTAATAACTTATTTTGAAGTTAGTTATATCAAGATTGTAGTATTATTTTTTACTTTATATTAACAATGATTGAGTAATTAATTTTTAAATAATTCAACGTAAAATAACTTATTTTCGATGAAATGAGTGTGTGCGTATAAATGGGGCGTTTCGATTTGCCGACTTGTCATATATGATACCCTTTGACGTGTATCTTTCTATTTCAAATGTCATGCACTATTCATTCATCCATAACACAAAAAAACAACAATGAGATGCATCAATCAACAAGAGGTCCCTATATGAAAGGGAGAATGCTTGTATATATGTAAATTAAATGACAAAAATGGTAGATTATTTTTGAGGCATGTTGTGAGTAAGTTTCTTAATTATGCGTTTGATAAAAAATAAAAAAAAATAGGTGAAAATAAGTGTTTAGAGATGGAGACAGAGTCAGGATTTGAAGATTCTAGATCTTTTAAGATAATAATCTCTAAAATAATAAATTAATTATGAAATGAATTTTTTAAGACATGTTTAAACTAAGGAATTGGGCGATTTTCTCAGTTTTTTGTTCAGTGAAATTTTTACGATATTTTTTATAGGGAGTTAGGAGAGCAGTACATACAATCTCTCTATTTTTTTTTAAATAGATTTTTTGACATTTAAGGGGTCAATTTACTGCAAATAGGTGATTTTCTAAGTTTTTTCGTGTGTTGGTCCTTGAATATTGTGGTGATATGATCTCCACATGAATTTTTTGCAAAACCTTTATGATATGTTCTCAACGGAGGTGATGGAGTGGTACGTAAGTCTCACCATTTTTCATATTTCATTTTGGGCATTTGAGGACTAATTTACAGGATTTAATTAAATGATTTTCTCAGGTTTTATGTGTGTTATTTATGAATATTTTTGTTATATGACTTTCA